GGAAAGTACACATTTCTTTTGTACTCTCTGGTTATTTATTGACTGGGGACTCTACTATACTCAAACAATACTTTTTGCATGGGCCACAATGGAAAGACATATTTTAATCTTTCATGATAAATGGGTATCGACAGAAAAGAAACGTTTATTAGTACATTATATGCCTTTAGTTATACTTGTTCTCTATTGTCTTATCTATTATAGTGTGATCATACTATTTCCACCTTGCAAAAATACGTTCGATGATTATTTCATGATTTGTGTCGATGCTTGCTTGTTTCAACTTTTTTCACTTTATGCGTACGATACGATTGTTCATCAAGTAATATCACATTTAATTATTGTTGGATTTAGTATAGGTTTATTAATACGAATTCGTTGGCAAAAACATCGTGTAGGTCAATCGTTAAAATGGCGAAAACACTGGAAAATGACAGTTCAATTGTTGTTTGTCTCGATTATTTACCTTATATTTGGTTTGCCATTGACACTATTACATCTTTTGTCTCTTTGTGGTGTATCAAATTATGTAACAGTTGTATTTTCACAATATGCACTATTTTTGAATTATTGTACAATTCTTCTTTGTCCAATTGCTTCTGCTGTATCATTACCTCAATTACGAAACGAAAGGAAGAACTTCTTACGATTACGAGGTCGAGGAAGAGCTGTTGCACCGATAACATAGACACAAAAAAAATACAATATTTATTCAAACATTTGCTTTAGTAATCAATCTTATTTCGTAATTATCTTGGCATTGTATAATTGGGTGTGGATGAAGGTGTGTGTGTGAATCAGAGTTGGAACCGGACAGCTTTTTTCTATTCGGTCCGGTCCGGTCTGGTCAGCAACCGACCGGATGAATTTTACAGCCAAACTGGCAAAAATCCGGTGAAAATAACCGACCATAAAACTATCTATTCATATATAATGCTGGTGAAGGAGGATTGAATATTCATGTACAGAAATCTGAATTAGGAATAATTAACTTACATTTACCAAAATTTAAATAAATCGAAAAATAAATTTAAAAAATTCAATTGATTTTCAATTTAAATTGGATTTAAATACATTTAAATTTTTCAAATTTATTTAAATCTAGTTAAAACCAATATAAATTCAATTTAAGCCAAAAAAATTCAATTTAAATTCATTCCGTTGGATTTAAATCCAATTAAATGGGTGTACATTGAATTTAGATTGATTTAAACTGGATTTGAGTAAATTTACAAGACTTAAATAAATTTAAAATAAACTTCAACTTACATAATTTACATTGAAAATAATTTAAATTTTTATCTCTAAAAAATTTTTATTTATTTGAAATTTAACTTCGCAAAAGTTTAAATTTCAAATAAGTTAACAGGCGATCGCCACCTCTCATCGAAACTGGAAACTAAAACTTGAGAATGAAACTATCACCATCATATTTTATAGCAAAGTGCGTGGACTTTTCGAGCCCGATATCTATAGTAGGTAGCTACTCCGACCAAATCTGTTTTTTTCATCTTAATTTCAAGAAAAAAGAGCCAGTCTACAATAAATCTAGCACAACAGTATAAATATTTATTTTCCATGATTCAGGCAGTTGTCTAAGTAGAATAAAAAAAACAAATGATATGATCTAGGTTAAATTAAGTGGTACACGAGAAAGTAATTGATAAAGATATAAAGAGAACAATGAAATGTTTACAGTTAGGTGGATGGCACAAAGCTCATCGAGTCTTTCGCAAACTCATTCTTCTAATGTGAAAATATCATAAAAACACCTTTTTCAGTAGAGGAAATTCTTAGACACAAGCAACAATTTTTTAATGATGAACTGGCAAAAAGCCGATCCTGTCCGACCGGTTTTAACTTTTTGTCCGGTCTTGTTCGGTCCGGTTCGGTCGGACCGGAACCGGATAGCCGGACCGATTCCAACTCTGGTGTGAGTTGTTCTTCTACAGTCCACCGCACCAATACCCACATCCACACCCACAACAACATTGAAAACGAACACCAATCAATGGAAGATTACTCAACTGCTCTGATACACTATCAAAAGGCTTTTGAAATTCAGCAGAAATCTCTTTTATTTGATCATCTTAAGTTAATCACAACATGTAACAATATTCCCTCGACTGTAGGGAGGGTCATACAAAAAAAAAACTCAAAACCGTTTGAGGGTTTGTGTCAGGTCAAAAAAACACAAGATTAAAAAATCGGACTTTCAGCCTGAGAAACCACCCAATCAGAAGTTCTCAAGCTCGCGCTTTTGACCAATCAAATTCTTTTCAGCTATGTTGGGTGTGGGTATTGGTCATTGAAGAGGATCATATCCATGCCGAAACCCACACGCTATGCGCACATCGTAGATAGGTAAAGTCAGATGCATTTCTCGTTCACACTGATTGAAGCCTCAATAATGCACTTTCACACAGTAAAATTTAGAGGTGGCTTTCGCTCACGTTTACATATCATTACAGTACGCTTTGTGTTTGTGCTAAAAATGAGTGGAGAACAGAATAGAAAAAAATTCATCTTATTTCTTTAAAAACGTGGCATAATCTGTGTGCCTTTCAGTTTTTTCGATTCGTATATTCAAAAGGTGTATGCAAAATTAACGAAAGTAGCCAACTTTTTAAAACATGCGTAACTAAAACATCATCGCTTCAAAAGTGTTTGATTGAGGCTTTAGTTAACCTTAGAATTAGCAAGCCGGGTCCAAATGGACCCCACTATAGAAAACGGATATTTAAGGAAAATATCTGGATAATTTTACTACGTTTAAATATATTTAACGTTTTTGACATTTTAGAATCTAAAGTTGACTACAGAAAAAGAAATTTATCTTCCTTTTTATATGCCAATTATGAGTGTTTAATATGGCATCATACTTTGGTCTACTAACTAAATTATCGCTAGAAAACTTCTCAATTTTTTCGTATGAATATCCAAAATGCATTAGCTGTTGTCGGTTATTCTGTGATAAAGCGACCGTCAGAAGAATTAAGTGAAAACTCTACACATTTGGATAAAAATACCTGTTCAGCAATCAAAACTATAGAATAAAAATATATGTCATCATATCATTTCTGAAAATAAACTTCGTAGTCCTAGGTTAAAGAACCTGTTAGCGCAATCTCTGTGATTAAAGTGTGAAACACGATGTATCTGCTCTAGGTGTTTACAGAGAGATTGGTTTAATCTATTTAATTAATTTGCGACATATTTCTCCACCATCCCTTCACTTATTCCTCCAGAACTTGAATCAGAAAGTAGTTCATATGTTATGATAATGCCCTATTGATGTACGGACTTTGATCGTATGCCAGCAATTTCTTGCACGGTCGGTGGCGGGATCTGATGACGGCTGTCATAGTCTGTGCGAGGGGGAAACAGTGGACTTCAAGACTTCACGCACAGGGGCTTCACATTTTTAAAAGACTCCAGAGAACTTCGCGAGACTTCAGAAGACTTCTAAAGACTTCACGAGACTTCATTAGATTTCATTGGACTTCACAGAACTTCAAGCGACTTCAGCATAATATCTGATGCAAAAGTAATCGGACGATTGTCGATCTCAATTTCTCTTCAATGGAAGGGTACTGAAGGAGAATCTTTTTTGCTAGATGATTGAGGATTTTTGCCTACTTTAAACTATAAGTGACGTTTTTTTATGACACGTCCATAAACGAAATGGCAACAGAAAACACAAGCACCGTTAAAATAAATTCGTACTTAATGTTGTGAGATTCAAAAAGAGGCACAATGATTCCTATATATTTTTGATAAGCACGTTTTGGAAGACATCTTTTTCAATCAATCAATAGAACATTATCCCCTCTTCAGAGCAGTTTGTTATTCATATTTGTCATAAATTCATAAATAAAATGGGGCTAGAAAAAAAGAGAAACACTGCGGTAATAAATTTGCAATTTTTATATGCACTTGTAAAAGCCGTAATGTAAGATGACGCTAATTCCGTTTTTGGAGAATCATTGGAAAGATCTTTTGAAATGATGACTAATTTGATCTTTATGAACTTATTAAAGCAATTTCGTAAACCAGCCGTCTATCAAAGCTAGCTGTCGTCTACTCAGGTCAAAGAAATCAGACATTTGTTGTCGTGAGACTAGATGAAATCGTACGAAAAACACTCTGTTCTCAGAAGTCTCACATCAATTCGTCCTAGAAGATTCTTCTAACGAGGGAACATTTCCAACTGTTAATCGCCGATCGAAGTGATACTTTGTCCATAAGCAGGATTCAATGAGACTAGGAAAAGCCTAAAAGGATTCGTCCCTATAGGCCTTCCTTCTGGAGTTATGACCATTTTACGAACTTTCCGGCTTAAGGCAAGTTATTCATAAAAAAGCCAAAAAGAAGGAATTGCCATCTGAAGTTTTGTCCATAAGTAGGTCTTCTGATCTTTAGGACATCCTGAAAGTTTCAGTCAAAATGGATGGTTCCTTCTCGAGATATAGAACACTAAAGAAAAGTCGTTTTTATGACCTTTTTGTGACATGATCATTTTTTTGAATTTTCAATATCTCAAGAAGGAACCATCCATTTTGACTGAAACTTTCAGGATGTCCTAAAGATCAGGAGACCTACTTATGGACAAAACTTCAGATGGCAATTCCTTCTTTTTGGCTTTTTTATTCGTAAAATGGTCATAACTCCAGAAGGAAGGCCTATAGGGACGAATCCTTTTAGGCTTTTCCTAGTCTCATTGAGTCCTGCTTATGGGCAAAATATCACTTCGATTGGCGATTAACAGTTGGGAATGTTCCCTCGTAAGACTTTACTATGGTATAATATTTTCTAAAATCTTCTTGTATTATCTTACAGAACAGAAAGATGTTTTAACAATTTTCTATTACCACTTAATATAAGATTTATGAGATCACTATTATTGAGCACGGTTCAATCCCATCCAACAAAAACTGACATTTTATTTTTTGACCTGGAATCGAAAATTTCTTGGACTAGTATTCTGTTTCCTTGCCTCATTTAACCTACGATTTATTGACAAATACAAGTCATATTGTGTTCCACTGAGGAGAAAGTTTCTTATCGACTGATGGTAAAATACTCTTTTTCAGAATATGTTTATCGAAAAGACATAAAAATTCATATGTTGTGCTGTAATTCATAGGAGAAGTTAGAACTCATTTTAGGATGCTTCATATTGTTGTTTCACTGCTTTGTTTATGGATATGCTACAAAAATGAGTTATTTATGATTCGAAAAATGAAAATTTTTTTATCTTCTTGTCAACGAAGGTTATTTTTCAGCATCCTTCTGTTGCAGAGCTATAGGAGTTAACATTTGTTCCATTACTTTTGCATCAGATGTTACATTAAAAGCTGCAGCTCAGACTTCAAAAGACTCCTTGAAACTGCACGAGGCTTCATGAAACTTCACGAGACCTCAAAAGGCTTCATGGAATTTCAACGGACTACACGAGACTTCGAAAGACTTCGTCAAATCTCAAGAGATTTCACAGGACTCCTTGAAACTTCAAAATACTTCATGAGACTTCAACGACGTCATCAGGCTTCAAAGGGTGTATGTGGATGTGGGTGTGGGTGGGTGTGGATGTGTGTGAGTGTGTGTGGGTGTGGGTGTGTGTGGGTGTGGGTGGGTGTGGATGTGTGTGGGTGTGGGTGGGTGTGGATGTGTGTGGGTGTGGGTGGG